GCGGCGGCGGTGGTGGTGGTGGTGGTGGAAGTATTGGTGGTGGTGGTGGTGGTGGTGGTACTGAAATACAACGTATGGTTCATCGCCGTTACAATAACAGCAATAACAGTAATAACAGCAAGAGTAACAATATTGACGACGACAACGACGACGACGACGACGATGACGACGACGGCGACGGCGACAACGATGACGAAGAAGACGACGACGACGAAGCGGATGACGACGACGACGAAGACGACGACGATGAACTAAATGATTATGGATTTAATCGTAGACCATCCGTAACAGGTATCAAACGACAGCAGCAAGACAACATTGACCAAACGTTTCGTCAACGAACGATTCTGGAAAATGACAATACCAACACTCTCAGAACAAATTTCCATTCTTCGTTACCGGTTTACTATGAGAATAATTGCGTTAAACTTGATAACCGAATCGCGTTGTACGACGAACCGATGGATAGTTCCATACAAAATTCGTTCGTTGGTACATTAGTTGCTAATGAACAAGAAGCGAATACCATTAGCAGAATAAATACGATGCAAAAGCAAATAGACGATATCTATCAAACTATTGTAGAGAATACTAATGTTACTGCCCAAAATTCGTTAATACGCGATGGTGAACCATATACGGACGACATGTTCATGCGTCCACAATATTCTCGATTACCAGCGAACGATAATACTTTTCGTTTTTATCGAGGTCCAAGAAATGGCCAACAATATTTTCAAGAACATATGAACGCGACCAATACGCGTGGTACACGAGGAGTCGTAACCGGGGCTGAAGAGACTGATGGAAATATTGCTATCGCTGGTATCGGCGCAGTTAGAGACTGTACGAATGGTCTATCTACGAAAACTCGCCGAAGAGAACCAAGCACAACGACGCCTTCCAATTATCGATGTAACATAGTGCCTACCACCGTATATACCGGAGTTCCTGCGAACGGCGAGTGTTACCGAACCATGTATTTCGTTCCGTATAATAGCTTATCCGATCCGACTTATCAAAACATCCAACGCATTTTGCCGTCGCATCCTTCTCCTAGTTACGCGAATCACATCGAGAGATATCCGTATCCCCGTTCAAACAAGAACGATAGTCGAATGCAAACGCAAACGCAAGCGCAAACGCTAACGCAAACGCAAACGCAAACGCAAACGCAAACGCAAACACAAACGCAAGCATCGCCGACACCGCCGCAATTTAGATATTTCCATTTAGGAAATCGTTCGGTATCACCGATATCGAATATTACTCAAAACCTCGATCACGCTTCGCCACTTCCTCCCGGTTCACTCGGTCACTCTATACCTCCTGGGTCCTCTCCTCTTTTCGATTCCCGACTCTCATCCATCTCATCGTCTAATCCAATCACGTTACAACCCACTCAACAAACCTTGCACCTTCATTTGCATCATCATCAACAACCAGACGATTTTCGAATTTCCGGCCTCGCTTTCTCCTCGGTTCCTCATACCGCCAATCATTCGTTACAATTTCACCATCATGCGCAACATCAGCATCATCCCCCTTATCATAGACACAATTACCAACCTACACTTTACCGTTTACCATCCACTATGTCTACCGTAGCATCTTCCTCTGCGTCTTCTTATACCGTAATAGCTCCATCGAGATGCCCTGCGTTCAATGGTAGCGAAATAGCAGCAACCACCGAAGGTTCTTATCGGTTCTATCAACTGCACTTAGGACATACAGTTCTCACACCTTCCTCCGCCGATTTACAATCGGCTCAAACCTTATTATCGTCGTCCGCTTCTATTTCCATCCCTTCTAGTTCCACCTCATTCTCACCCTCACTGCCGCAATCATCCTCGCACTCACCCTCGTTATCGTCTACGTTCTCTTCTTTACCGACAACCATCGCACCTGTAACGCCTCAACAAGCCTCTAACCTTATTCCTCCGAATCGTATTATCGATAATATACACAATACCAACTTTAATCCCGCGTGTCGCGCAGCAACTATTCAGTCTATTTCTAACAATGTTGCGACTTCTGTACCGTCCACCATCACCGTTTTCTCTTCCTCAACTTCTTGCGCCTTATCATCCTCCTTGTCATCCTCCTCATCGTCAGCTTCATCCTCATCTTCTTCTGCTTCCTCCTCTTCCTCCTCCTCGTCATCTTGTTCCTTCTCCTCCTCCTCATCCTCCTCTTCGTCGTCTTGTTCCTCATCGTCTTCCTTGCAAATTCCTTGTTCACCTTCGAAACCACAAAACCAGCAAATAATTGGTAACTACACAGCAATGGAACGTGGAGTTCCAGAAGGAGCAGCCAGCGCACCGTCTCACGACATATCGCAGTCCGGAATTTTACTCACGACAAATTCATACGTCGTGCATAATTCCAATGGTGTACAGACTTTACCCACTCAAACACAGAGTTCGGTATATTATGCCATGAATGTTTAAATTTATCGTATTGTAGCGAACGTTGAGCGTACTCGGCGCGTCTATGTATTTTCAATATCTCGTGTATTTCTAATATATACACGTAGCGACACATAGACGCGCACATACAGGATGATCAAAATCATAATACAATTATAGCTGTGTGAAATATTTCCGAGAAATTTCAAGCACTTCTAGTGCCCGAAACACGAAATTTTTCCATATCAGAAAACCTATAATACATAGCTCTATTTGTTCCGTTTTCCCAACAATTTTCCATCAACTCGCTGTTATCCATCTGATACTAGAAATATTCATATTCATAGAGCGATGGCAAAGCAACCACTACCAATGCGCATCTTTTTCCTAATGTTGAGGCACGTAAATGAACAAACTGCCTTTTCTCCTCATAACTTGACAGATTCAAGCAGAATCGACCTATAAAATTGTAACGACCTATAAAAGAACCAACTCAGGGCCTGTGTAATTCCGAAAGATAAATTATCTTTTGCCGCTTATTATGCGGCAATATTGTACGTATATACGTTGTAATCGATTCTAGTCACAGCGATATATTTACTACTTACGAGGATATCAACAAGCATAAACCAAAGGACGTTCACAGTGTTTATGTATACATGTAAGTATAGCTGACACTAATTATTATTTTCGAGAATTTCGCTGGATTCCGTTCAATTTTTGCATTGTGGAATTGATAAATTAATTAGAAATTTTTAACAAAATACTGACAACTGCGAAACATTCCGATAGAAACGATAGATTTGAATTAATGCAAACTTTAACATGCTACATTGCTTCGTTTTTTTTTTTTTTTTCTATTAAGATATCGAGATTAAGTATAGAAAGATAGGATATTAATAGAAAAAAATAATTGTGAATTTCGTAAACGATCCAACGAAACTTAACTTCATTTTTAACTATTACTTTCCATACTTTCCGTTCATTCCGACATTCCTCGCTGTTCCCTTTTCTCTTCCCTTCGATTCGATATCTTTGTCCGTTTCGTACTTACAAGGTAAAGAGTAATTAATTCTCGAAAGGATCTCTTACCTTGTCAGCAACGATACAGACGAAGAAAACGTTGAAATGTCAACTAACATTTTACTGATTCATAGAGATTTATGCACGTCGTATTCTTTATAACGCAATGAAGATAAAAACAGTGTTCAAACATAAGACTAAAAATGAGCAATCGTTAAAATCCATTTCCACCTCCAATATTCTATACCACTTTGTTTTCACTGTGTAAATTTCACAGAAGAAACTTATATACGCGTTATGTATGTGCGTAAACGGTATATCGCATCTTTTGCCACATACTTTTCGTGAATATGTTACCTTGAATTTCTAATGATATACGATAAAAGGATTAGAGAAATACGTCTTACTTGGTGAAACGTACGATAAAACTTTTATCGCCAACAGATTTTGGCGTGCATGTCATCGTATACATATACACGTATAATGAAAGATTAACAAAGTCAGCATCATAGCGATCTAATAGAGATGATGTATCGACATGGTAGAATAGAAAATAAGGTAACATTCGAATTCGAATGTAATCAGTTTTAATCCAAAGTTAGATACCAAACTTTTACGGTAAATCATGGAGCTTAGAAACAAGTTTTACATGTAATATAGTTTACTTAATTATTCCATGCTATCGTCGTGAAAAAAATGTATGTAAATAAAGCTTTAACCAGACATCAAAGTTTTCTCATTACAAATATATCCAGGAGCTTAGGTTCTTAAGCAACGTGTACAGTTTAACAATATATAATTGGCATAAACGGAACCAGAAAAATGTAAAAAAATATACTCCTATATTTCAATCTTAGTATTTTTGTAAACTGATTTATTAAAAAATTCACACTACTAATTTATCAATAAAAACGTCTTACATATTAAATAGAAGAATGTTTTACAGGTATTTTTGATACGAAATTAGTGTAGATGTTCACAGCTGTCAATAATTACACTGTTTATTTCGCGGAATCGCCAAAAAGCATCGATGCTCGCTCGCTGCCTTGAATTGGTTTAAACAAAAACCAACCGCCGATTATCTTGATTCATTGAACCGGTCGACGAAAGGATAAGTATGTACGTGTACGTGTACGCGTAAGCGCGGACGTTGGCGCGTACGCACGTGTATATAGTACCTATACATGGTATATATGTATGCATTTCTGTATTATGTATGTATGTACGTATGTATGTATGTATGTATGTACGTATGTACGTATGTATTATGTATGCATTTCTGTATTATGTATGTATGTACGTATGTATGTATGTATGTATGTACGTATGTATGTACGTACGTATGTATGTACGTATGTATGTATGTATGTATGTATGTATGTATATATGTATGTATTATGTATGTGTATATATATTCATGCATACATGCACACGCGCGCACGCGCGCGCGTATGCTGCGTATACGTATATACACGTGCGAATGTGCATACGTTATGTACGTGCATACGTGTGCATATCACTTATACATAAAATGCTCGTTTTCACCCATGCTGCATGAAAATTTCCTTCGAATCGAGCGTATGTCGAACGAGTCGAAAACAAAAGACAGATCGTTCTGTGATAATCAGACGAACTATCGTTAGTCGAAAATATTCTCGCATACACTGTATAATAAACTCATACAGTCATCGTCCGAATAGCGCTAATATATTTTAAACACGATGTTAGTTGCGCTCTACAAAACGATACATCGTCTTCTTCTGACTGGTTCTGGAGGCTCTAACGCTGCTAAAATTGCTTCGTCAAACACATTTTTCAAACCTTTCTAAAAAGTGGAAAAAATGGTATGTTGATAATTGAAAAAATATTATATTTAAATAACGCGTAGGTAACGAAAGCCATAAATTTATCATAATTAGTTATATGTATACCTGTGTAAGAGCACTGCATTCCACATACTTCACTGCCTTAAGTTCTTTGGCAAGTTTCTCACCTTGTTCGGCCGATATAGGCTTTTGTTTGTTTTTTGCAAGTTTCTCGATAGTCGCTGCATCATCTCGCAAATCGATCTGAGTACCAACCAGTAAGAACGGTGTCTTTTGACAATGATGAGTTATTTCTGGCACCCACTGTCACAAAATGTCTAATTAACTTGAGAAATCATACATCTATATAGAGCCTCGAATGCTATTGATATCGGATTTATATACTTACCTTCTCTTTAACATTTTCAAAAGATGACGGCGACACAACGGAAAAACAGACAAGAAACACATCGGTCTGAGGATAACTCAAAGGACGTAGTCGATCGTAATCTTCCTGACCTTCAAATGAAAAAACCATTAATACTGACTGGTAAGGTAACATGAGCTGTAAGGTATGGAGAAATAATTCAGATTATTTACAAATAAGAGACATACGAATAATAATACAAGTAGTATACAGATTAGGTGAATCTGTTAACACATTGTTTCACCGTAAATAAAATTGATCAAACTGAAAGACACGTGTATGTTAATAGATGCAGAGAAAATTGACAATTACCTGCTGTATCGAACAATCCTAAGGTATATGGTTCACCGCCGATCATAACAGTCACAGCATAATTGTCAAATACTGTTGGCACGTATTCGGATGGAAACTTATTAGTAGTATATGAAATCAGCAAACAAGTTTTACCTACTGCACCATCCCCAACTACAACGCATTTAATAGTCTGCATTTTTTCTGTTTCTCTGGGATATTACTGTTGAGAAAAATAGAGAAAAAAATATAATACAATACTAAAGTCCAACAATAATTTCATATATAGGAAACTATCTTAGACAAGATTGTTGCCGGCAATAACAAAGTCTTGTCCCGTTCGATTTTATAACGTCCGATCTAAAGAAATCCTACTGAAATCTGTCGCTTTTCGTCACGTCCCATTACATCCCGTCACGTCCAATTACGTCTCCTAACATCCTATTGTATACTTTACTTAGTAAAAGGAAATATATCTCGAATGCTTCAACGATACATTCAAAGATATTTGTTTTTATAAAGTGAAGGAGAAAAGATATTTGCACCAAAGACGAAAAGGAGCACGTTGGTCAATTCTTAACAAGTCGATCCAATTATACGTAGATCTGGTGTGAAATAATTGTTTTTTCAGATCGCCATTTTTGATATTTTGTCAAATCTATCGGCTTCTAGTGTGAAAAATGATTATTGACATATACGGTGAAATATATTGAGTGGCATATTTCGTGATTTAACCCATAGCAAAATATGAATCACACGAAGAAAAGAAATACACAAAATTAAACCGAAACACTCACGAGTAACTGGGCGTCGACAACACACTTTACTGTCACAAATTTTTCGAACAAGTATAGAAAGGCGACGGCACTCCAATTTGAGAATGCAGCGTGTAACTGCCATCTACGTGGTCATTTTATGTTACTAACGCCTGAACAGTTCTGGCAATATTAATTCTGTATGATTTGTTGCGACATTATTATAGTATTAATAAGTTTGTAAGTTTGTAAATTGTTATTACGGGAAAAAATTATAGGGCTGAAAATGATTCCACGCACTGATATTAACTTAATTTTGTTAAAATTAACAATAAATAAAATTAACAATAAAAATAAAGAAAATGCGGCAAATATGATTATTTTTATGTTTTCTATGAAAAATATGCTTGTACACTGTTTTATGTTATACGTATTGTATTTTTCTATAAATATGTAACTACTCTGGTATAAATATGTAAAAATATATGAAACTTTTTCTTCTTCCTTTCTTTTTTTCTTTTTTCATTTTCTTTTCTCATGGTTATTATTCTCGATATCTATTTACTAAAGCATAAAATGGTACACACATAAAAAAGATTAAGATAATCTGGTTATTATATGTAAGATATGCACATCATAAATTTAAGTGATCCATGTTTAATCTAGTAAAACGTAATAATAGTGATGGCGTATCGATTGCACGTTACTAGTAGGGTCCTAAAGGAAAGAAAATAAGCTGGATATTTTTACAGTATAATTTGGTTAAATTCAGTTGCTTCTTTTCTAATATGTTATAAGCGTAATAAAAGAAGGGAGATACATAGTAAATTGGTGATCAAAATAGCATATGCTTAATTGTTGTTGTTGATTTTACGTTACCCATATTGCAAATCTTAAAATGGGTTTACCTAGAGTATATTTTGACGTGGCTGCCGATGATAAACCATTAGGTCGTATCGTAATGGAATTACGTGCAGATGTAGTACCAAAAACGGCAGAAAATTTTCGTGCACTTTGTACAGGGGAGAAAGGTTTTGGATATAAAGGAAGCACGTTTCATCGAGTAATTCCTAAATTTATGTGTCAAGGTGGTGATTTTACTAATCACGATGGTACAGGTGGAAAATCAATTTACGGAGAGAAATTTGAAGATGAAAACTTCGAATTGAAACACACTGGTCCTGGCATATTATCCATGGCAAATTCTGGTCCCAATACCAATGGTTCGCAATTCTTCTTAACTACTGCAAAAACTGCTTGGTTGGACAATAAGCACGTGGTCTTTGGTTCTGTAGTGAATGGTACGAGTATAGTGAAAAGAGTCGAAAGCTATGGTTCTCAAACTGGAAAAACGCATCAGAAAATTATAATTACCAATTGTGGTCAACTTTAAAGCATACTTTAAAGCAGTTTGCCCATATGCCGCATAACATATTGTATATCTTTTCTCTATAAGGTTCTTTTTGTTGGTTCTTGTAAAATGGATAATATAGTGGAAAAATACACAAAGAAGAAATGAAATAATGTATTTATTTGATAAGAATAACCAAGAAAATGATGCTTCTCCTTTTCTCCGTCATACATATTCTTTCACCTGTAGATTTCCATTTAATCTCGCTTTGTTGTAAGATAGATGGTGTTATATGTAAAACGGATATACATATAGTCGCTGAAGAAAGAGTAGGAAAGGTTTCGAAGGGACTAGTAGAAATTTCAATGATTTTTTTTCATATTTTAGATAAATATTTAGATAAATTGAAAATAGAGAAGAAAAATTGATTTGAAAGATGCTTATACCAAGTATAAGTGTATCATTGCGACATATACTTACTTTTTAAAATATGTCTATAAATAAAAATTTGCAAATATAAATAGATACATACGTACACGCTTACAGGCATTTATACATACTATTGTATACGATACACATACACAAATGCAGACATAATATATTGAGAGATAGATAAGTATGTATGTATGGAAGAGTAGAGTATGTAGATTCATGAATATATACACATCATGAAATAATATATCCGAGTATCGGCAGACATTCGGAAAAAGTAGTAATAATGAATTAATTAGAAGTTGAGCTATGTCACATGGATGTTTCAACGATTTAAATGTACGTGAATATCGAACAGGTAATATAGGAATTGACCGATTTAATGTTCCGTAATGTTTCGTAGAAACTGTCCGTCGTGAGTAATGTTTCAACTAGATAAAGCATCAATGAAGGCATATCGGTAAGTTAACTATAAAGAACATATTGAGCTCTAGGATAGAAGCGAACACCAAAAAAATTATGTACATGATGAGGCAAACTATGCCAACGGATCGAGTCAACTTAAATTTGCCAATTAGAAGAGATAAATAAAGGACGGTGAGAGTAGAAAATAACGATATGGAACTGTAAACTAGACCTTGGGAATTAATGGTTACATAATGATTGCCAGGTATTTTGGGGAGAAGTGTGGCTTTCAGGAACCAAGGTAATCCGAGGCAAAGTAACACATCGAAAACGTTTGAACCGATCGAGTTACTTATACCCATAGCTCCATGCCCTGAAAGTAGAAAAATTATTCAATTTTATTGAGTTATCGAATTAACGGTGTGCTGTGAAAATACGGTGTGAATAGAAGCATGAAAATGCAACGATATATAGAAAAGAAGGAGTCGCAGGATAGCATAGTTAATTTCAATGGGAAATGCATTAGAGATGATCAGCGAAGGGAAAAACTGAATCGATATATTAAATAAATACTGTGACTGATGTGGCTTGTAGCTGAGTATAAAAAAAGAATGATTCCAAGATTGGGAAAATTTGATAGGAGTATCGTGATAATATCACGCGTTGTGTTATCGTAACTTGGTCTTTTCACGATAACATTATCGCTACTGTTATTCGTTAGTTATATGTATATAATTTCTTGATCAGTCTAATGGTTATCGCGGCAAATCGTATTAAAGCATTTGCAATTGGCATTGGTTTCAATTGCAAATTCATTTGAATTAAATGAAGTTTTCTTGTTAGAACGGTATGATGTAAAAAGAAAGGGATTACCTTGATTCGCAACGATAACACTGGACACAGCTTCCGGCACGCTCATTCCTGCCGCAAGAAAAGTTAATCCCATTATGGAATCGGGGATCCTAAATGTATCGCCTGAAAAATACATAATAATAAGAATGGAAACATAACTCGATCGTTTTTTATATGTTTATTATTTATTTTCTTTTTCAGTCGTCGCTGATACCAGCTATTCGTGATTATCATTTATAAAAATAAAATCGGTGTTTAAATAAATAGTTATTAAGAAATGCAGTAGAGGGTAGTTGTTATAGATATGCGTACCGATTACGGTGATAACCCATCCAACTATGTACGAAGTAGTTGCTATCCATATTATGCACATGATAAAAGTAAGGGGGTACCAGGATTTCAATGTGTTTCTTCTGCAATCGGGAATGGTAATGAGGAGCGCGAAATTGATTGGCCAAGTAATCAACCACCAAACTCGTTGGCACGTCGAATTCGGCCAATTTGTCATATTTACGATATCGTCTAAAAGAACATTTTGTTATGAGTAACTGAGAACAATGGAAGCACTCGTGTATGTTTCTTTTTTTCTTCTTCTCTCTCATAGAATCCACGTTACTTACGCGATTCGTCCATTTCGTTTGATTCCAATAAACCGATATCCGTACTTTTGACAAAATCTAACAATAAACAGATGACGTGTTTTTAAATGAAACTCGGAGATTGTAAAATAAGATTGGAGAAAAGAATCGATGAATTTGAGCATACCGTTAGAAAGAAGAGGACTTTCTTCGGATAGATTCTTGTACATTTTTCTTGTTGTCGTTAAGCGTTGGTAAAATCGGTGTATACTGCGATCGAAACACATTACTAAAAGAAGGAAGCTTCGCGTTTAATCTTGCTATGTAAATGCAATAAAAAGCTATATATATTTCCTATGAGTAAATTTTGCAATTCGTCAATTCGTCATTTCGTCATTTCGTCATTTCGTAAATACGAAACGAAAGGAAAGAAAATATTTATTTGGTTTAAAGTTTAAATTAGAAAAGATTTAAAGGAAAATTCTGCGTGGGAAATTCTTTTGTTCCATAGTAATATTAGAATGTTGAAAGTATCGAAATTTCAATATTACATGGTATGATTTATCAGTACGAAGAATGAAATAGGGACGGAGAGTTGGTTTGATAGTATTTCGCGAACTTACCTAAAATATACAAAACGTAAGAGAGAATGAGAGTCAATCCTTCGTACCACTCGACACGACCATCCCGTAAGGTTAAAATTAGCAAGAGGACTGTGATTGCGTATGCAATACTGTCTCGAGTTACAGCCCACCCTTCCAGATAGAGTATCTGTAAAAAGATAGTGAAAAAGTTGATTGGTTCTTCCGTTTTGTACCATATTTCTTTACTTTTCTCTTTCTATTCGCGTGTATGTATTATGATGTCGTATAACCGCATAATAATCCATCGGTACGTTGAAAAGAGTCGTACCTGATTGGCGAATAGGCCGCAACAAGCCGGTACGGCTAATATATTGAAAACTGCGGAGCCAACGACCGTACCGACGCCCAGATCTCCTTCCGTAACAAATGTACCCACGATATTGATGAACAGTTCCGGACTGGAGCTAGCCGTTGCCATAATCGTAGCCCCAGCGACATCCTCTGTCACATTAATCTCTGGAAATGAAGTAGGCGCAATGGTTTTAGAGGTATTTCTTCTTAAGAAATTTTGCCCTCCGATCTTGATAATAAAATGAACCAAAAATGAGGTAGTTTCCTCCTTTTTCCGGTAGGAATAGAAACGGATGTTCCCGTGCTTAACTTACTATCGCAAATTTTTTTAATCGACGGTACAAAGAAATCATCGCATACTACGGCGAGTAACAGGAACATGTAAATTGCTATGACGAAATGTATAATTATAAATCCGGATTGTCTTTGCTCCCGAGTAAGACCATCGGATGGAAATTCGTTAATTGCTGGCGGAGTACAGTTGTCTGCTCCATTTTCTTCAGGTTCGATGCTAGACGGTCCAACTTGTAATAACTTGCGAATTCCTTAAAAAAGAACGGTATATGCGTATTCTTAATGGTTATATTCGTGTATATGATTGCACGATAACAAAAGTATGCGACGAAGGATATAACGAATATATCGAAAGTAGGGCGAAAGTAAACGATGAGATAAAACGAAATCTTCAAAATTATCTGCCGATGAAATTTTACATGACCTCACGATTCGCATCGACATTTAGATATACGTACATATACGTATATGTATACGTACATGCGTGTACATCATAACAAATGGATGATATTGCTATAGCTAACATATTACGTAATGATTCATTGTGGATTTTAGTATCACGATATCTTCTCGTACATCTTTTTCGTAGAACGTAGCCGCATGCATCCGTGTATGCATCGTAGTCGGTCGAATGTCTAAGCATAATTGCCCTTTATTACTTATCGCTTGTTATTAGTCGTTCGTTTACTCTGTAGGAGGATGTAACTAATCGTTTGTGTAACAATAAGCAATATTAACGAGATATTACGAAGAGATATTATGAAAGAAGAAAAATCGTTGCGTGTGTTTATTTATGATAATATTGCAATACGAGTCACGTTTCGGCACGAAACATGTATAAAATAGAGAAAAACGGGAAATGGGGAAAAATTGAGAAGACGAGACTTACGCATGTCCGTAGGGTTACCCGCACTTGCTGCGTTATTTGGAGGAAATATCGTTAACGTATTTACGAAAATAAAATACATCGTTGGAATGACAATCGTACAAAGTATTTTATAGCCAATCATATGTCTATGTTTTCGCGCCATCGTAAAATGGCTATCTAAATAAATTAGAGAGAAGTTTCAGTGAAGGAATCAACGATGCGACTTGCCGTTCCGTATGATACTAAGTTTGATTTGCCAAGTCGAACGGCAGAGATCGCATCGATGTTTTTCATTTACGAGCATTATCGGTTTTAACTTTACACAGATAAGATACTACACAAAGCGAATGAAGGTATCCCTTTACTGATAATCCAACAACAGGAGTGTTCCTGCTATTGGATATACTGTAATTACCAATTAGATATTTATCGGTTATGGGTGAATATTTTAATGTCTAATGTATACGTTACACCAAGTATCTTCTATCCTCGTATATACAATTATGCGACGTTGTACGCATGCAATGTGCATATTCACGTACATGTATATACAGACGCATTCTAACTTTGAGACATCATCACCTTCGAAGAAAGGGGCACGAATCGATTTCTTCCCTTTTCGACCTTTTTCCTCCTCGCCATCTTCACCCCATTTTCTCTCTCCCTCTCCCTCTCTCCCTCCCTCCCTCCCGCTCTCCCACCCACGAAGCGTGACTACTTGAAACAATTTTCTTATAATCGCTCATTGTTATTAACTTTTTACCTTTTCGTGTATCATATACAAAGTATATTTCAATTGTATATAGAATCTGTATATTTTACAGATATTCTGCTATATTTTATACAGGCACTATAGAGAGACGATGAATTTGACATTACATGGTATTTAGGTATCGCGCAACGACTGCTTTATTTAGACTTTACTTTCTCTTCTGACTAGTCCATTTGTTACTTGGTTTGCTTGTAACCATTTTTATACTTGAATTGTTCATGATATAATATATATTATATATTTCTGTGCATCTTTACCCGGCTGTTGAAATGCGATACTTGAAAAATAGTCAATCGGGAAAAAAATTGATGCGTGAAAAGAATTTTTCATCGGTTATTCCCCTTAACTTTGTTCCCCTATATAACTAAGGAAAAATATTTGGTCGTGCCGGAATGAAATATATACGGTGCGACGTTCAATTTTCAAGGAAGCCATAACGACGATTAGTGCGATGACGATTTCGCATTTTGACCGCGGCACGATTCAGCGGGCGCGATGCGCGAGAGATGAGAAGAGAAGAGTTAGATGGAGGGGCGATTCCAACAAACGCTGCCGGACTTCGGAGTAGTTGTTAATGTAGTATATGTGTGACAACGGGATTGACAGCATGGATACGTCTGACTTAGGAGGAGGTTCGTTCAAATATATTTTGAATATTATCGGGAATCGATGCTTTTTTACGGTACAACGACTTCGATCGGCAAGAAGACGGATAGGGGGTTGTGCTTCGATAATAGTGAAATATATAGAATGGTATAACATTAAAGAATCGAAATTAAAGTATCGAACAAGGTGCAAGAGACGCAGGAAGAGATGAGGCAGGAGGAGGTGGAGAAAGACGAGGGGGAGGAGAAAGAGAAAGAGGAGGAGGAGGTGAAGGTGGCGGAGGAGGAGGAGGCGGGACAGCGGAATGGCTAACATCAGCATTAACAGTAGCGAGAACAATAGAGGAAAGAGTAGAAGAATATATAGGCTATGAGGAAAAGCGAGATGAAAGGGGATAAGTATGGGGTAGAAAATGAGACAAAGAAGGAGAAAGTCAAAGAAAAGTAAAGGAAGGAAAGGGAAAATGGATGACAATGCAAGATGTAACAAACCAAAGCGTAGAGAATCGTTCTGAAAATGGTGCAGATCCAAATTGAATGAAATTGAAATGGACAGGTGTGTCGTGCCGCGGTGCTGCGTGTCGCGCAACGATCGCGTTTGTGATTTGATTTTTGTACGATCGCTGCATAAAAAGAAAAGAATACGAACGTATAATTGATGGAAAATAATCTTTCATAGAAGAGCATTTATCGAAGCACGACTTTGCGTGTAATGTAAAATGTTTATTCTATATCGAATAATTTGTACCCGTTCTGTGTGCGTGCGTGCGAGCGCGCGCGTGTGTGTGTATCTATTTATCTATTAATCTATTCATCTATCTATTTATCTATCTATCTATCTATCTATCCATCTATCCGTCTATCCATCTATCCGTCTATCCATCTATCCATCTATGTATGTTTCTCTCGGTTTACGAATCGCAACGATTTTGTAATGAGATATTTCGATCTAAAAGAATCTTGCATGCAGTCGTTCGGCACGTATATTATCACAAATTTACAATGCAACTTGATCGGTGAATTTTGTGCCACACCCGCCATCCCCTTTGAGTGGGGGGTGGAAAGGGTGTATTTCATTTTAATCTCATACCGCATGTTGTTCCTATATATGTACGTGTATGGAGACATAGTTAAATTTTTGTATAAGAAAAATTTGATATAACAACGTCTGTAACAATTTGTAGGAGAATTTAGTCTATTTAGTGTTATCGTAAGCGACAACGACGACGACGACGACGACAACGACGTGAACGTTTGAGCATATGTAACTCGTACAAACTCAAAGATGCATGAAATATTCGTACGAATCGTTACTCGCAACCTTGCGAGGTTGAACCGATTCTTGTAATTTGTTGTTACATTTTGTACACGCCGTGTTTACCAATTTGCTTACGTTCAAGTTTGACACGTTAAGCTTTGAAACGTTAGTTACACAGAAATATGTATGCAGGATATCGAAACTTCGTTTAGTTTATCCCAAACGATACAATTTCAGGCGTCTAACGACAAAATGAAATAAAAGGGCTAGCTATAGTGCTCGCATGATATATCACGTTGATCCAGGATTGAAATTATAAGAATATATAAGATCGTATATCTGTATCGCAAAACTGTATATCGTACGACGATAAAAATTCTTTCTCCAACGTATCCATATAGTATACGTATGCATGAGATGGATAGTAATCGTTCTGAACATTATTACCTTTTGATAAAAAAACATAAGAAAGGTCGATAAATGTATGAAAAAAACGGAAATGATGAAGCAACAGACCATGTAACGGCTAATGAAATATTTAATTACAGAAAGACAAATATAAATAGAAAAGTGTGTGCACCGGGTGGGTGGTATATGAAAGACCATCTTGTCGATTATCAAAACGAGGAACGAACGATTCCCCCGATTCCCTGAAACTTTCGATTCTCTCGGAGAAAACAGCTCTCGGTAACAGCCTTTGTTTCGAAAGAAAAATCGGCAAATCGGCAAATCGATAATGGAGAATGAACGTTTAATGATGGACGGTGTCGAGCCGATGGTCATCGTTTGTTTCCAACGAGACGAAACCGTTCGTCTCGAGCCACCGAACGGTCGAGCCACGTTATATCTAGTTTATACGACGTACATTAGACATGAATGGCATCTCCTCTGCCAACTTGAATGAGAGCAATTTAACTTCTTTAGGTTGCTTAATCGGTAGGAAGTCACATCAACTATACAGCTGTGTAACCTGTACAAGACACCAATACGTGCATCGTTCGCTTCATTACGTTGACTGTAAGAAACCATAGGAGAAGAATTATTAAGATTTAAGAAGGAAGGTGAAGAAACAAAGTTGCTACTTCTTGAAATTTCAAAAAGTATGAAAATATCTTTATCGAGTCGAACAGTATAGAGCTTTTTGTGTGTATATAATTTGTTTTATATGTATAGGGAAAGCATTGAATGTTAGAGGTTTGAAAACGAGGTAAAAGAGTATCATGTATCGATGATATATCTAAATAGCTTTGCAAACGAGCATACGGGAATACGATATGTTTCTTTTGGCGTAAACAAGTATATTATTATATCGGAAGTACTTGTAAAAAGTATAGTTAAAAGACCATAATTGCAATCGTTTTACTTGAAATATATTCAAAGTCGATGTGACAAAGAGTCGACAACGATACTCTGTTATAGAAAAGTTATTATAGATATAGAAATTGTTGACAGCAAAGGCAGAAAATGCCTTAATGCGTGAACGCTGAAACTCATTCGAGGCACGTCGTAGATACGAAATGGGTAAATCAACGATTAAAGGGCAATGAGCAACGTGAGGAAAAACCGGGGAAAAGAGAAATTCGATGAGCAGGATAGAGCTTTTAAGATTTCATCTTACGCATAAGAAATTTCGTTACGCGAGTTAAATAATGAAAAATTTTGTTCCATATACTTGCTAATTATTCCGGCATACGATATCGCACTCGTATGGGATTTTATTTGATTACACACCGCTGTGGATCAATTGCACCACTGAATGTTTTCTTATAGGCGAAATGCGCGTAGTATCAGACGTATGTAGATATAGGAAGAATGTAACAGAAAGTATGAAATAAACGACAAAGGTACCATCTCTGTGACAAAGATAAAGAACGATGCGAGAGAACAATTGTAGCGATCATTTCTGTAGCAGTCCGTGATGTCGTGAGTTATTTGTCTTTGAGGGCGCGTGGGAATGCTTGTCATCGAGTAACTCGCGAAATCGAGAATCAAACGTTTCGTAAATTACGGCACGAATAGTTAGTTGAAATTTATTTATTTTTATTTCTCTTGCAGACCGTAACCTCTATTCCAACGTTAAGAAAGTATATTTTATAATTAAGTAAATTTTATAACATTTACTATTAAAGTATATTTAATGGCATCTAATATATCGATGAGAGGATAATTAAGGAGAAGAGTTGAAAGAATTTAATGTTCTCGAATCTAACGTTGTTTGTCTATTCTCCATTCCACCGATTTACGAAACGATCGCCGTATGTAATAATTGAGTAATCATGTGTGTGTGTGTGTGTGTGTGTGTGTGTGTGTGCGTGTGTGTGTGTGCGCGCGCGTGTGTGTGCATATATGTATGTATGTATGTATGTATGTATGTATGTATGTATGTATGTATGTATGTATGTATGTACACACACGCACGCACACACACACGCGCACACGCACGCACACATATATATATACACATACACATATACATATATATTACATATATATATTGGAGTTTAATTATCGTGAGAGTTTGTTACTACGATTGTTATTGTCGCAATGGCAATAAACAACCACGTGAATTGTAATTTCTCGTACTATTTTACTCGAGATATTTTACAGAGAAACGGATTCAACAGGTGAATAGCGAAAGTCAGTGAACTGATTATATTTGTGATCACCGTACAGACGCTACAGCGAATACAACCAATTATCCGGATTCGTAATCACAGAGTGAAGCGTGTATTTGACGTTTGTATCCAAGTGTGCTATGGTGTAGGATGAAACACGCAAGGTCGTCGAAACTTATGTAATAGAACTGACGAAAATCGTGTGTCAATAGATATATAAGCAAACACGATTTCGTTTTACCGATACAGATCACTTTATAACAAGCAAAAGATTCTGATACCGAAGATACCGAAGAGAAGGAAAGAATTAATGAAAAATACGTATAATCGGTGCGAGAAAAGAAGGAAGCAAGGAACGGAAAAGGCACTGCAGAGGGCAAGAATTCTATCATACATTGTTCTTCTCTTTCTCTACAATGTCTCACCCTTTCTCCACTTTAAAACGATAAAACGAAAGAAAATATAGATCGTAGATATGAAGGGAAGAATATAAGAATGAAAGAGAAAAAAGAAAAAATTGGTAATCCGAACTGGAATTGGACGTTGGTTCTTCTTGATTTGGTTTCTTCGAATTTTGCAAATCGTTAGGTTTGCCTGTAACTCTGCAATCGTATTTTGAATTGCTTTCCAAAGTAGTATCCAAAGAATCACGAGATCGAGATCTTCTATATATCATCTACATGTCTTTTACATATCGAACGCGAATGGCATATGCGTATGTATGTAGATATGTTAAAAGGTTTTCATATTTCAGGTATAAATTGTACACCTCCGGCGATAGAAGACTTTCCACACGACCTTTTCGATGAGAAGCAGAGGCAGGGCGGAGCTGTCGTCGTGCACGTAATCGTTTCGCTTTACCTGTTCATTGCGTTAGCGGTAGTGTGCGAAAAATTTTTTGTTCCTGCCGTGGAAAAGATATGTCACGGTAAATAAATTCATAGTTGTTGTTTCTATCATAGTTGTTGTTTTTGATAAAGAGAAAATACTTGGACCGATTCGTATATATTACATATGTACATACGTATCCTATGTACATATTACACGTTACATAATAACGTCGAATGATTTTCTTTTTAACTTTTCAACACTGGAATTTTGAAAAATGAAGGATTTTTTAAATCTGAATTTTAGCACTTTCGATGTCCAAGGACGTGGCGGGCGCTACTTTTATGGCTGCGGCGACGTCGGCACCGGAACTGTTCGTAAACGCGATCGGTACGTTCATCACCGAAGGTGACATCGGTGTTGGAACAATAGTAGGTTCGGCTGTATTCAATATTCTCGCGGTACCGGCTTGCTGTGGTATCGGTGCTGGTATGGTAAGTATCTGCGATCTAAATAATTTCAAACCTATATGTATATGTATTATAGTGCATAGAGTGCAAGTTACCTTTTTTTCAAATTTCACGAATCAAACTATCTACATATGTATGTATATATCATATGTTGATCGAATACGTACAGGTAGTTCCCCTGGACTGGTGGCCTGTTAGCAGAGATTGTCTGGCATATGGCGTTACGGTCGCCATTCTGATATGTATCATACACGACGAGCGAGTAGAATGGTACGAAGCGTTAACGCTAGTATTATTGTACATCGTATACATCGCCGTCATGTATTGGGACAAATCGTTTCAGCGATGCACGCGATTCCGTACGCATAACGCTGATCGAACGTTATCGGACGATCATCGACACGCGATAGGTAAAAGTATGACTATTCTTACCGTTTTTTTTCTTTTTTCTTTTTTCTTTTTTTCTTTTTTCTTTTTTGGTTAATGGCAACCAATAGCGAAAATAAGCGAGGAAGAAATATAAATCATTAACCGTAAGCCCATTTCTCAAATAGAGAATGAGATTGAACGCGATCTGGTAATCACGTTATTGGCACTTTCTATTTTAAAATTGTAATACCGTCGTAAATATCGATGCATAACTTTCTATAAATTTTGCTAGAATGTTACGCGTTTGAATATACGTATGTCTTTGTCCATATAATATATGTGCCAATAAGTGAATTACGATATAACGATTATTGAATTCGCGTTGCTTTCACTGTCCCATCGTTAGCCAATGAATTAACCAATGAAAACAGCAATAGAGTGTGCTAATCTCTTTAGAAGTCAACGCGGAAATTCACATGACGAGATCCGACAAAGTGCAATCGATCGGAGAACAAGGTGAACACATAGATGTACCATTACAAAACGGAGGAACGAAAACTCAAGAAGAAAATCCGGATCCTAGTAAGTATAGAAATTTAACTAGAAAAATATATTTTAGTCTATTGCTCCGGTTTCTAGCCGGATGAGAAGGGGATCTTAACTCGATATTATTACATTACTTGGAGACAAGCACGAGAAAAAATGATCGATCGATGGAGCGCGAGGGGTTATTCCCGTGAGAGGGAGGGTGAGAGAGCGGTGGAGAGGGAGAGAGGGGGGAGGGTGAGGGAGCGGGAGGGAGGGGTAGAGGAGGAGAGAGAGAGAGAGAGAGAGAGAGAGAGAGAGAGAGAGAGAGAGA